CTACTGGTCATGGCACAAAAAGCCAAATTCTAATCTGAATTGCATCTGTTACAAGAAGATGCAACCTCATCTTCCATATGAATAAAAGAACATGGAAGACATCATCATACATACATCTACTAATTCTTCTGTTTCTAATGATGCTAGAATATATGTGTCATCACAAAGACAACTTGCATCAACAGTCTCCACCATCATTAGGACATGTCTCACTTATTTTACATCAATTGTTATTCCTTCTCTTGCTTGGAAAGTTTATCATCAGGCCTATCAACTCTTCTTTGCAAACTACACACTACCTTTGAGAGAAGACTTGCAGTTCTACTGTCAAGATCATGCAGCAGTGTGACAGTCTTGGGAACAAACCTAAACTGCAATATAAAACAAAGTGCTGAGAGAGACATAGTAGTTTGACTAAAGGGTCGTGGTTGAGTACCAAACAAATCTCTGAAGATACTGAGATTCCAAGAAGATATGTGTGATGAGATAGAGACTTTATTGGTCTGTGGTTTGCAGAGGATGAAAGCTCTCAGATGAGGTTCCCCAGCAATGAGGCTTTGTGTTTGTATGTGTGTGTGTGTGTCTGAGAGAGAGAGAGAGAGAGAGAGAGAGAGAGAGAAAGAGGTGGGTGAATTACATATATACATTCATGTGAAACGGGAAAACTAGGTCAAGTGATGCTACAGAACCGAACAAAACAAAGTGGACATGCAGGATAGGGTTGGGCCAGAGTCTGAAGAACCCATGGAAGATAACCCCAGACGATTTCTCAAAGCCGATGTAGAAAGCAGAGACAGTCACTTTTCCATCATGTTGCAAAACAAGGTAGATAGTCATCGTTTCTACTTCCCAAACATGGATGATCAGAAAACTAAGGTAAAAGGCACACATAAAGCGTTCTCATAAGAACAGCTTTGTCATGCAATGTGATCTCTTCGTCCGTGGTGTAAGCATCCATGCGAAACAGAACCAGAAGAGAAAGAGAGGAAGATCAAATATCATGTGAAGTCTCGATCTATAACTTCAGGCATACAAATGCAAGAAAGATGTCGAATCCAAGAAGATGGATTGAAACAGCAACTCACAGCGAGGGATATATATGTTGTCAAGATTGATCACCTCCATGTCCAGATTTTGCGATCCACTCCGATACCTAATAAACTCTCTCGCTCTCTCTCCCCTCTCCTCTCCTCTCCTCTCCTCTCTCATATCACAAGCAGCAACATCAGCAGTAACAACAGAAGAGTCAAAGGGACTAGGAAAACCAAACCTGATCGATGTATAGCTAAGCTCCTGCGTTTCACGTGCTCCCATCAGCAGATGAAACTGCCAGATGATCTGATTGGCTTCTTATGAGGGGAAAGATCAGATCATGCTGGCAGCTTTATCTCCTTACGGTGCACCATCTGATCTATCCACACAGAGTGAGCGGATGAAGGGATAGAAGGAGGGTATGAGAGAGGCTTGGGATGGTGAGAGGACTGACAGATAGCAAGAAGGGGAGGAGGAAAGAAGAAGGCTGGAGTGCATTTCCTGGCCTTTGGTATTTTTGGGGTTACCATAGGTTCCAAGGAAGTCTACAATATAAAGGGAGGGGGGTGGTGGTCCCTAAGAAAGGGATATTGAAGAAGGTCATGCAGAGGCCACCACCCACCACCACAAAGAATAAAGGCTCCTATATTTTTAGTGTGAGCTTATAATAGCTTTTGGACTGACCTTTCTCATGCATCTCCACGTTTCGTTAGGAGAGAGAGGGAGTTGAGGGACCAATCTGCATGCAGAGTTCCCTTTGTCTCTCCTCAGCATCACCATGAGAGGAGAAGTCTGTGTGTGTTTGTGTGTGTGAAGCATTCCAATGTAACAAGGCCATGTTACTAAATGACCGTTAGCTTAGATCTCTCTAATAAACAACAATAATAATAATTCATATCATCAAGACAATGACAACAATATGGGCATTATATGATTTTTTTTTTCTTTGTATTTTTCTGATCAAAGATTTTTGTTGAACTGTCAGCTTGTCTTACTGTTATCTTTGAAGGACTGGTTCACATGATCTTGACTCCATTAATTATGAAATGATAGCTTCCATCTTCTGTCACTGCAATCACTTTACTTTCTCATTCTTCAGTGTTTGACATAGAAAGATATCAATTGCCTTTTTCTTTGGCAAATTAGCTGTTAACTACTTACTTATCTCATATCAAATTAAACTGATTAATAGTTGGCTTTGTTGCTGCTTATTTGGAGGCTTGTCTTCATGGCACTGGCCAAGCTTTCACCACACCCAACTCAGAAACTACAAAGCAGAAGGCTGTTTACCAGTGACAAACCTAAAGCAAATAAACTCTAAGAAAACTTTGGTTGAGCTATCTAATGTTCACATCAGTCCTTGCTTAATCAGTAGACTAACAGTGATTTTTCTGTGGATCCAAGTGGTAGTTGTACTGGCCAAACAGTGGTTGCATAAATATTTCAATGCCATATGAGGGGTGTGTGTGTGTATGCCTTCCATGAAAACATCTGGACTTGATTATTGATGGTCTAAAAGTATTTGTCCTACAGCTTGTAGGCTGATTGTGGTTCATGTGAGTCTTCCTTGAGGACCACTGTTTGGATACTCTTGCAAGTCCACTGCTCTGCACTATTAGTTCATTGACAGCAATTGATTTGGCACTCAAAAGTTGCAAAAGGAGACACAAGAAAGTATACATATCCAGTTTTTTTTTTGGTGCCTGTTAAATCATTGCATTCAATGGACTTGGCCTGATTCAGAAGGGTCTACAACAGGTGACAGTGTAACCACATCAATTAAACATGCCAACATTTTCTGCATGGTGTCTTCTGCTCTCTTCATGAGACCAAATGCAGGTTGAAGGAAAGTTTAGCAAGGAGCAGCTCCAATCAGTTGGATGTGACTTCTTTTAATTAATTTGTTGGTAATTGCACCTATATATTAACCTCTAATTATCTTGTACTTTTAGTACAAGAGGTTTAAGAACATACAAAAATAAATACTGTTAAAACATATGATTCAACAGGAAAATCACAAGAGGCTGTCTCCTTTTAAGTTTTGACATTGATGTCAGACTTGTTAAGTTGGGTGTCTCATAGATTTGTTCTTCATAATAAGTTGAGGGTTGCAATCGAAACTATTCTTCACAATCTAGGGAATAATTTCTTTTATTTGAAGGAATACAAGGAATACTGTAAGATGCTATGGTGACAAAGCAAGATAGGATATAAATGTATAATGCCTTTGGATTAAATATCACAATCCTTATGAACACATGGCAGGATAAGTTTACTGGTTGTGTCAAGGATGACACTGATCATAGAATTGACTCAATCTGATCCAACCATCACTCACATCCTCTCTAACATCATCCCAAAGGGAAGAAGAGGAGTTTAATGCATTTTTATCTATGCTAGCACCAGTAAGTGTCCATAATGATACAGGAAATGCTCTTAAAAAAGACTCAACCAGGAATAACATGATGGTGGAAACATTTCACAGTATAAAAAAGATCTTGATCCAGAGAGAAGAAAGAAGATCTTGGTGAACCATTAGCAACTTTGGAAGTTTCTGGAGTTGCTTGGACTTTCTTCTCTGTTTGCTTTGGAAAGCCACAAGTAGTTCCCAAGAGCCAAAACAATCATCCTAAAATGTAGCCACACTAACTGCTAATTAGTTCCTATCAGCATTTGTTGTTGTCTTACAACTAAAGTAAGGGATTTTTCTTCATCTCTCTTGGTGTAACTAACACCTATTTAGGTCTTGAGGTTTGCTTGACAAAGCAACCTTGAGGAACTTCAATATCTTGACAGAGGAATCACAAAGACTTCAAGGAAAAGTGCCTAAGCTTGACATTCCTGGAAGCCAATAAAAAATTCCAACACAGGAAGATTAGACATATGAGGCCATTTGTACAGTTTGAGGGCGTGTAGGGTTTTGCATCTACAAGGTTAATTAATCAACTCTATGTGAATACACTTTCATGTATCTTTCTGTTCTAATGACCTTTTTCCTTCAAAATTATCACACAAATTTTGCTAGTTATCACAGATAAGTGGACTCCAATAGAAGTATAATTGTGATAGTGAAAACTTTTCACTTGACTAAAATCTTTTTTACTTAATTGTGGATTATTTTCATTGACATATACAATCAACAGAAGAAGTATAATTTCAAGGGACAAGGATAAATCTGGAGCAAACATCAATTTCTTGTAACAGTGATGGAATGTTCCAGGTGAAGCTTTACTGATGTGCTGGCACCTGTTGAAGGTCAGGAATTTGTCATAGTTGAGACCCTAAATTGAGTCAGATAAGCCTACAGAAAGCCATATGTTGATAGGTCAATGAGTTCAAAGCATACATGACTGACATGGAAGCCAATAAAAATGGCTTCCATCATCTTAGTTGTCAAAGCCATATACAAAAGCAATCATATTGCAGTGTGAGTGCAAAAATGATTCATGGCCTGTCACATTGGATCCTTGTTTGGCATCAAACACTCACTTTAAACATACTATAAGAGAAAAAAAAAATCATTCACTTTAGGCATCTACTCTGGTGATATGCACCAAGACTATTCTGAATGTCATATCATGATGATGTCAAAAAGGCTCATAGAGTATTCATATTGTTCAACTAAGACCAATATATATGGATGAAACTGTTTTGTTGTAGAGGCAGACAGGATTATGAGCTGGTTATACATATCTGCAGGTACAAACTATTTCATGGATTGAGACAACCATTAAGGGATTCTGAGAGTGACAAGCAGCAACACATTTGGAATGTTGCATCATTCAGTTAATTGAAGCTTCATTTTGACCACACACATTGTTTGTTCTTAATTGACACCACAGTCTTTTTTTTTTTCTTCTTATTTTCCCACTTGTATCTTAAATATCAAACTAGGTTTAGTGACAAAATCATGAATGTTGTGCAATAGATCACTACATTTTTCACTTTCAATTGTGCAAATGAGTATATAGGTGATAAATGCTTATAGATGTGAGTTTATTTCATCAAGATTCTGAATGCCTCTTGTGGACTTCAAGGCTGGATTCAAGTCATGCAAATCTAAAGACTGATCCTCTATGTTCCCGCTCTTGCAAAACAACATGAATAGAATGTACATATTGTTTTACATGGATGCTCTTTAACATCAATCAATCCACAGCAAAGGCAAGTGCTTGAGCCAGATTAGGCCAAAGTCCTGAAGTAGCTGAGACTGCAACCTTTTTATCATGCTGATGATGACCCGATCATAGCAGACCAATTGCAAGCACTTGAGATGTGTCACCTCAATGCACAATGGAAGCAGACATACTGGACCTGGAGGATGTTGATTTGAAGTGCACGTGATACATGATTCACCTCCATCTTCTGTAAGCTACTGTAAATTCAACATGGAGGAGGTGAAGCTTCACTGATATCAGATCATGTAACTTGTTTAACTTGCACACACAAGTGTACAAGGAAAGATAGGAATAAAGAATCCATGGAGATATAGCTGGATTACTGTCCTACTGTCATGGATTTGATGTAAACAGCACAAACATTTGAGCCCACACTCACATACCGGGGTACTTTGTTCCCCAATAGCACCCTTCAGCAGACAAAGATAAAACTAGAATCAAAGGCAAGTAAAGTGGATCCTGCTGGCCATGGGGTAGTACTGTACCAACTGATAAGAGAATTCATGGATGCAATGGACAAGAAGAATGGCCATGTCAATCAGCATAAGAAAAGGCATACTTACACTGCTATTCTCCTTTCTCGTCTTCCCTGTCATGGTGGTGGTGGTGCATCTATTGCGCCCAGCAAGGGAAGAAATGAAGCTGCCAGAGCATGACCTAGCCAGGATTAATGTCCTTTAATCATGTTTTCATTCTTTGGCATCTCCAGGATTCATGTTTATGGCCAAGTTCCTTCAAAGCTACAAGAGGGTTTATGATCAAAATCTAGCTTTTATCCTTGAGCTAGATCATGCTGGCAGCTTCACTCATTCCCTTGGGCACTTCTTCCGGCAACTTCCATCGGAGGATATAGAGAGAGGAAGATCTGAGAGGTGAACCGGTCTGAAAGAGATTAGTACGTGAAGTCAATAGTTTGAATCAGTTTAGATTCGATTTGCAAGAGAAAGGAAAAGAAAAAAAAATCCAAGATCTATAGGAGAACCCATAAAGTTCTCGACGTAAAATCCATGCATATGTGATGCATAATAGAAGAAGCAGATAAAAAAGAATCTTACACATGAAGAGAAAAAGGGGGAAGAGATCAGAAGAAGAAGGACGACACAGGTGATGAGTGAACACTAGAGAAAAGGTTTGTGGGAGTATGACACAGATCCCTGATTTGTAGAGAAAGGAGATGGGAAGAGAACAAGCATCCGTAAGATGGATTCTGACTGTAAAGACTGAGGATTGGATTTCAGACAGATAGGAGTATGGGAGGAGAAGGCGAAGGAAGGATTTGACTGCCTCACCTTTCCATATGTGAGCGGATGCACACCAGTAGGGTTTCGAGGCTTTATACTACCGAGGCAAAAGAAACAAATCGTTGAGGAATCTAAGTAACATGCAGTGAACCCTTTGTAACTTAGTTTACACACTCCTTCCAATGTAAACAAAGTCTGCAACAGTTGACGAAAGATTCATGCAATTAAGCTTCACCATTCTCCTCCCTATAATCATACTTGTGTTCAGTGCATTTGGTATCCTCAACTTGGCTGTTGAATGACAGCGTTTAAGATGGGGTTAGAATCCAAAGGAAAGGGCTCTTCCCTTGTCTTCCTTTGCAGAGAACCACATGCTGAATCCGACCACACTGATTCCCTTTGTTTGCATGCATGTTAGCCCTACTCTTAGACTGCAGTACAAGTAAACCTAGCATCTTGTACTAATCAGCATCCCACCTTGAGATGACCGGTGAAACACTTGCCAGCCCATGCCACCACCGTGATCATATATCGTTTCGAGTTAGCTGGAAGAAGCACAGACCTTCTGGGTATCGACAAGGCCATCATACTGTTTTGCAGGTCGCGTTGCGTCCATGGGTTGCTGCTGACAAGAAAATGTAAAGAAACCCTAGATTCAGACAACTGAGGTGCGTGGTCCTCACCTCCCTCGCCTCAATGAGGAGTGTGGTTGCAGTACTCCATTGAATATAATCCAATGAAGGGAAGAGGGAGATGATCGATCCTATAGTTTACAGTACTCGATTGCGTTGGAGAGCTCATGTCGCCTTTGATCGCGCTCTGGAGGAGCTCATTGTCGCGCATGCAAGCGTCATTCCGGAAACACACGGAATATTTTCGCTTGCATGTGTTGCACTTGCTCGGCACGGTCACAGGGAGGCACATGGTGTGTGCCATTTCTTCGCATCTCAGCAAGCAAAGATGGCTCTGCTCACTGGTTTTAGGTTTCTTCTTAGATCTGAATCCAAACATGTCTGCATCAGTAATTATATGCATCCATTTATCTTCACTACAGTGAATTTGCCTCCCAAGTCTGGTTTGTTTACATGCTTTTGTTCTTTTCTGCATCATTTACGTTTTCCCTTGGCAGTTCAATACTGAATCATTCCTTAGTCCTGTTCTTGATGGTTAAGGGTTTTCTAAGAGACGATATGCTACCTACAACTCAAAGAACTTACAAGGGATGATCAACCATTGGTGCTGTTCTTGGAGGCAGATATGTTCTCTCATTTGAAGCTGCAGCTCGTGAACAGATAGACAAATGCAAACTCAAATCATGTACTTTGTGATAGCTTTCTGACACCCTAAGAAACAGAGTCTGATTCCAGACAAGTTTCACCTACAGAAGAACAAAGACACTGCTCATGGTGTTCATTACAGGTGATATACACATGTCTAATTCCAACTTTGATGTGTAGTCACATATCAAGAAACCAGGAAAATGTATGCCTAATTGACCTTCATATGGTATATGTTAAAAGCAACAGATTATTTTCAAGGGGAAAAAGATGATAACCTCATTGTTGTGAGTCCTAATAAAATAAAGATTTTTGAGAAAACAAAGGAACTCCACTTGAAATTCTCACCTGTTGTGAGTTACTTAAAGTCATTGTCAAGTCAACCCTCTTAAATGATCTTAGCCAAGAAAATTAGAAGCTTCATACATGCAAAAGATGATTTACTAACTGAGGCTTTATTGTTCAAAGATACATATCACTGGAAACTCTTAAGGTAGCATATGGGAACTTAATTACAGAGGCTTGAGTGCATTCAAGTCTGACAGTCTCTGGTAAAGTAATTGAAAGCATTTATATTGACTCCACATCCAATTGCCTGTCCTATTTATATATATTTATATATACTTGGTTAAGTAAGGTTTCTAATATTAAAAGTACTTTACATGTCTGATTTGATATTAAAACATCATAATTAAATAATTCTTTGGTGCATAGAATCAGTATAATTTTGTTACTCCGAAAGATATTCCCCAATATCTAGTTCAATTGGGGATTTTTAAGAATATAAGACATTATAAAATGATAAATTTCTAAAAAAACCCTTAGTTCTGAAAATTTTAGACTGAGCACTCTTGTTTCTATCATGGTGTTTTTTTTTTTAAATTTAACCCTTATCTCTATTGGATCCATTGTTGTCTTTATTCATAGCCTTGCTTGTATCTTTGCCTTACCATCTCCTTTTGGGTGTGTTTCCATACTAGTCGATGGTCCCCGTAAGCTAAGGATGGTGAGGATGAGAAATTGCTCATTGCTTATGCCTTAGTGTGCAACTACCTATGTCGTCATCATTGGCTCTTGTATCGCGAGCAAAGATGATAAAAGTAAGGCACATGATGATCAGTTAATGAAAGTTACGATCGTTGGCCAACGAGGATCACGGTCTTTGACTAATGAGCAAACATGTGACGATGAAGATAACCAAGGGCGAAAAGTGTTGGTAGGGTCAAAGACAAAATCGACAATTGGTGATGCTAAGGTAGAGATAATATATATATATATATATATATATATATATATATATATATATATATATATATATATATATATACATTTTTTTTGAAATAGGGGCGGATTGCGAGAATTTTTTCTGTGGAAATTTACCCTAAAAGATCAAGAAAAAGGAACAAGACCACAACCGTTCAATGAGGCGGGATTCGTTGCAATAATTGCATATGATCCGACTATACTAGGATGATAACGCTAATATCAAAATCCATTCAACGGTTGTGATGGTGTCCTTGAGTCCGGAATCAAAGAGGTCTCTTGGCCCTCTGCTGTTTGCACGCGCTCGCGAGCTTTAGGGATTCCTCGCCCGTTTCGGATCCGCGTCGTGGTTTCCATGGAGGATTCGGCGAAGAGGAGGGAGAGGCTTCAAGCCATGCGCACGGAGGCCTCACGGGCCGCCGCTTCCCCCTATTCCTCTCCAGCCTCGGCGCCGCTGCCCCTGCCGCTGCCGCTTCTCTCAGAACCTCCGGTTCCGCCGCCAGGGGGCCTCGAGAGCCCCCCGCCGCCCGCCCCCAGGTTCGAGTTCTATTCCGATCCGATGTCGACCTTCTCGGCCGCTAAGAGGATGAGAGGCGTGGGCACCGGCGCCGCCGGATTTAGTCCCTCTTCCCCCTACCTCCCTCATCCTCCTACTCCTCCGCCGCCGCCGCCGCAATCAACCTTCCCTAGTGGTAATTCCGAATTTCTTTTATTTCTTGTCTTTTCCTTCCTATTGATTTGATTTAGGTGAATATTTTTTGATTCTGATTGTAAATAGCTGAAAGAATTGATGCATGCTTTTGGTTTTTAATGCGAGGGAAATTTCCTTGCAAGTAACTCAGGTTAATCATCCATGCAAGTTGCCGTCTGATGGGCATAATACTCCCTCCTTAGAGCTAGGTTTTAGCCTCATCTTTGTCATTCTTGAGTCCGCAACTTAAGAGTAATGATACCATTTAGATTTATTGGAGTTCTATAATTCTAGCAATTCCTTGTTTCTCGGTTGGAAGAAGGCAAGCCATGGTGTGGTAGTAAAGTTGCTCCTCGGTCTAGGTGTCCAGGGTTTAAGTTACAAAAATGACATCTTTGCTTGCAAGGGGAAGATAAGTTACAAAAATGACATCTTTGCTTGCAAGGGGAAGTTTGTGTACATTGACCCTCCTAAAATCGCATATTGGCAGGAGTCTTGTGCACAGCTTCCCTTTAAGTCCTTGCTCGCTTAGAGGAATTGGATATCAATTCCCTTATAGTCATATGGAGATCTAGTCAACATAACTATCCAAATGCACTTCAAAGCGCCCCTAATATCTCTTCTTTTTGCAAACCAAATCTTGAAATCCATTTCAACTGGTTTCCTCTATGATCTTCACTTGAATAACTTTTTAGTCCAATTTGTTTATAAGGTAGAAAAAGATGACTACCTCCATCCAAGTGTTGGGTTTAAATTATTGTCTTTCTGCTTTTTGTTATTATTTTAACTTGTTTGTTCTTTGGTTAAGGACTGGAATTTGGATTGTCTTTCAGGGTCTTGATGATTTTCAACCTGATGTGAGTCTATGTTTTGTTAGAAAAGGAAATTTTTAGCGATTAGCTTTTCTAGAACACCATAGTGTGGTGTACTTTTAGTTTGGCACATTATGGAATCACTTGTAAAGTGATTTCCAAGGTTTTGCAATCTGCATATCACTGGACTGAATATGTTAGACTCGTATAAGATCACTGAATTTTTTTTCCTTTTTTTTTAATTTCTTGAACAAAGACTTGGAGGTGTTCCTCTTTTCCTTCCTCCAACTGATTGAGAACCTTATTATTTATAAAAGCTTTTCTATTTCATTGATGGGTTAAACATCCATGCTTAAAACAGTAAATCAAGAACTGGAGTTAGAATCAACTCCCCTCCGATGGTAGGACATTGTGCAAGCCAATTATTTCATCAGAACTTCTACTGCCTCTTAACTTATGTTTTATCTCAATCACATTAAATAGTGGGATCAGGCAATGAGCCATATGATAAGATTTAGTAATGCAATTAACTTCGTCAGATCTCTCTCTTGTTACCCTCTCCAACTTGTTTAACACTGGCACCTATTCAGTTCTCATCAAAGAATCTTTAAATGAAAGGGTTTTAAATAATTCAACTCCCTTTTATAAAGTTTTGTTTTCTGCTGTGAAACAAATTATATGAAGTCAGATGACACGTCATGTGATAGGATTCTTATTGATCTTACAAAGTGCCATGAACTCTACCAATCTCTCATTTAACCCACCCAACTTTTCTGAATATTTTGTCTGTTCAGTGTTCATGAAATAGCTTTCAAACTGTAAAATGCATATGCTTGGAATTGCTTGGTATTTATCATTAAAATATATGCTGATTGTATGTCTTGGTGCATGCTAGATTCTACTTTGTGTTATATATTTTTTACAGTTTGTAAAAAAGAGCAGATAGTTTTTGGTACTTTGCTGATTTTTCGTTGATGGTTCTTGGAAGAACTTTGTTTCTCTTGAATGA